CTCCTCCTCCTACTCCTCCTCCCGCTGCCACATCCCACAGACTGCTAGGGCGATTCCGCTCACTTTGGACTACTGAAATGCTCTTTTGCTTTGAGAAAAGTGCTACTGGCTTGGACTATGTCCTCGTCTGGAGGCTAGACCAACCAGACATAATGGGGATAAAGGCGACCGTGGGTGCTGACGGGTAGACCGACCATCGCCTTGTCATCTTAAAGATTAGCATTCGTCTACAGCCTAGCAGGAGACCTCAATATAAGCGACCCCCAGGTAAGCTGAATACTGCTTTGTTGTCTTTGCCTGCTCAGCATCTCCACTTCTGCAAAAAACCATCTAAATGGTCGAAATTCCTGTCGGCGCCGTCGCCGCCGCCGAAAAGAACGCATCCGTAAAGAACCGCAGGTGTCAGTTGAGGGACACGGTCCAGTCGACGGCCCTGGCTGTCCGCGTTCGCGCTCGTTGCCAACATCAGGGCTGGTTTGACGACAATGATGACACCTTTAAGAACCTTCTCGCTAAGCAACATCGAGTGCACAAAGCCCACGTCAACCGTCCCATCGACAACAATAAAGCAGCAGTCGCCGCCTTGTGCAACAGCGGCTGCGCGGATTGCAGGACGCTTGGACGGCCCGCAAGGCCGAGGAGATCGAAGGATATGCCGAGACCAACGAATGGAATGATTCCTTCGACGCGATCAAAACTGTCTGCAGTCCCACACCCAAAGGCATCACTCCTCTTCCCAGCGCCGACTGAACTACCCTTCTCGATGAGAAGACGCAAATTCTGCAGCGATGGGCAGAGCACTTTAGAGGCGTCCTTAACCCTCGTTCCACGATCTCTGACGCCCGCATCGTCCGTCTGCCTGAAGTGAAGACCAACGCCGACCTCAATCATCCGCCCTCTCTACTCAAAACCATCAAGGCCGTGAAACAGCACTCCAGCGAGAAAACGCTCGGAGTGGACGCGATGCCTGCTGAGATCTACAAGCACAGTGATCCTTAATTTATGGGCCATTTGACAACGCTCTACCAGAAGGTGTGGCGTCAAGGAGAAATCCCTCAGAATTTCAAGGATGCCACAGTCGTCTACCTCTATAAGCGGAAAGAACGCCAAATGTGGGACAACCACAGAGCAATGTTCCCCCCTCCCCCCAACATGTATGGTAAAGACTCCTGCCGGAAAGCCAGTGCGGCTTCTGCCGTCATCGCGTCATCACTGACATCAGCATTGCCACCCGCCATCTACAGGAGATGCGGATCCACGTTTACTCTACCATCGCGAATCTGACGAAGGTCCTCGACACGGCGAATCGCGAATGACTGTAGAAAATTATGCTGGACATCAACTGTTCCGACCGATTGGATCAGATGGTGCGGCGGCTTCTCAAATGCAGGACGGTGCGTGTCGCGGACAGTGTAGCCGACTCGGAGGCATTCGTAGCGACCAAGGGAGTCAGGCCGTGCTGTCTCCTCTCTCCAACCCTCTTCAGTCTCATGCTGCCTGTCATGCTAATGGACGCTTACCGTGATGTACGCCCCGAGATCCGCCTTGCCTACAGGACGGTCGAACAGCACCGCAGATGCACTTGCAGTTGCGTATCTCCACAACTACGCCAACGAACTTCTTTTCCCCGACGACTGCGCACTCAGCGCCACCTCGCGTGCGACAACGTCAGTCTGGTCATAAACAGGGAGAAGACGGTGGTTATGCATCAACCGCCACCCAAGCCTGACCACAATACACCCCAAATCAGCGTGAAAAGAGCTCAACCGCACCCTCGCTCGAAATACCATGATCGGCGATGAAGTGGCCCGTCGGAATTCTAGATCCAGACAAGCCTTCGGCCCTCCGCAAACACAGTCTGGAATCGACCGGAAGATGTACAAAACAGTCATACTGCCGACGCTGCTGAGACCGAGAAGCTGTACAAGAAACAGCCGCAAAGGCTCAATCACCTCCACCTCAGCTGTCTTCGGCGGATACTGAAACTGAGGTGGCAGAGCCTGATCCCGGACACAGACGTACTGCAACGAACCGTGATCCTCATCATCAGCGCCATACTGAGACAGCTGAAAGTGCGTTGGAGCCGTCCCGCAAACGACTTCCTATGGAGATGTCGCCACGGATTCTCACCGACAAGATGGTCAAGTTTTGCGATACAATGATACCCTAAAGTCTTCCCTGAAGTGCCTGCAAATTAACCTGGTCCAATGAGAAGACCTTGTTCGGGACCGACGGACCTTAAGGAGGTAAGTGAAGACAGTCGCAGCGATCTGCAAAGCCGACCGGTTCAACGCCGCCATAGTCAAACACGATGCACGCAGATCTCAACTGTTCGCATCCCTCAACGCCTAGGCTCGACTACCCCCAAACCGCCCACGATGTCTGTGGAAGTTTCAGTCACCAGTCGGCTCTACAGGACGACTTCACTGTCAACTTCAGCACCCGATCAACACCAGCTGCTGTCCAACCGTCCACACCTGTATCGCCTCCCATGCCGTCGATTAACACAAATCGCCCTTCTGAACCCCCAACTCCATGTCCTTAACCACATCGCCTCAACGTCCGCTGTGGCAGCTCTTGTACTCGCCTACACTGCACGCATTCCTAAGACACCAGCCAACACAACCCCCCCCACCCCCCACCGACAATCTCAGTGATGTGGACTCGGTCCATGCCTGTCCTAATTGCGACCGCACTTTCACCTCACACATCGGCTTCGTCGTTAATTCATCGCACAGTTACTGACGAACCGGTGCCTGGAGCACCCACATACACCAGCCGCACTCGTCTCAACTGCCCTCACTTTACCCGCAAACTCACCCACCACATGTGCCTGTTACAGTAGATGGACTAACTCATGAAATGTCAACCGACATCTCGAAATGTGTTCTCGTTTCGAAAAGATTAACTGAGTGGAGTTGTAAAACTAATCGTCATGCAGCATAATTCTATAATGGTTGAGTTACCTCATGGTGTCAGCTTTCGAATGAACTTATATCCGACTGCATGTAAGAACTTTACTCTGCAGAAATAACTACTTAATTAGCATGCAATTTTTTCAATGATTTTCGATGCCCTTAAAGATTCAATTTTATTTCATGGAGAAAATGTAAACAAATATTCAGTCTCTTACCTATCCGGTAGAAAACCATGATTTCTTCAAATTTTATCCTCGAAAAAAGGCCTTAATAGATTTCAAGAAAGTTTCTAATTGTGAGATTTTTTAAAACCGTGAAATGACCGTTTATAAAACATCATGTATCTGCATTTATGAATGTAGCTTGTAAAGTTAACAATATTGGTCAAATCTACTACTTAATTTTTTAAACCCATATAGTCTCCTCTTTATACCTTAGAGAAATATATGACTTTCCATACACAGAAAATATACGGCTCGTAGTTTTGAAACCCTTAATGTAAGTGTAACAGTAGAGCGGGTTCAAATTTATTCGGGAATAAAAAGCGTTTTTAAAACCAAATTATACCCTTCTTTTGAGTAGAAAATCGGGAGAAGACGTGATTTTCTATCGAATAAGTACATAAGTGGATATTTTTATGCCCAGTTGTGTTTGTGTAAATTGACAGACAGGCTGAAGCGGCTCCTTCTTCACGTGACGTACGGCGCTCTCACGCGTGTGAGATATACACAACCCAAACCCCGTTGTGTGGAATTCTGGTACTCACTCCCCTCCCACCCTGCCCTCTCCATTCCCCCCTTTCCATTTCAAAGCGTCTTACCGAGAGGGTGATATCCAATCCCGTGTGCGGCCTAGGCTAACTCGGGTCGCCCTCCCCTAAACAAAGCTGTAACCCAAAGTGGAGTTGGCCAGCCGTCTGTAATGACTAACCAGCCTGATTTAGGGACACCACTGCTTGTCCCTTCCGAGAAAGTGACTAGATATGCCTTGGGATGGCTTTATTGCGCTGTCCGTGTTGTCGTCCTCACATTACCTTTATACTTATATTGGTTTCAGGAGGCAGTTGCGATTTATATCTTTCAGCATTAGCTTACGTCTACTGACTGTTCTGACGTGCAGTCGAGCTTCTGTTTTGCTGGGCTCGGAGTCAGTTTGAGGCTAGGGCTTGTAAAAAAATAACGCTAAGGGTTAGGGAATGAACTCCTGTATAGGGTTCGGGTTGGGGAGTGAGATCTAGTTTATTGTTTGGGTTAGAGTACGAGTTTTGTTTTAGGGTAAGGGTTACGGTAAGGGTTACAGTTGGGGTTAGGTTCAGGGTGAGGTTTAGGGTTAGGGCCAGAGTTACATTGCCATTTTAACCTGCACTCAGTCAGTTGTCTTTAATTTTAGACTCTTTTATTCCACAATGCCCATTTTCATGTGCAGAATTAATAAAACTCCTAGGACCACCTTTTCCGTATTGCAAGCGCTTTCCCCTCAGTCCTTCGGGCCACGGTAGCGTAACCGAGCCGGAAACGCTGTCTTCCCTGGTGAAACAATCAAAGATTTCCTACAAATTTTCATTACAGTAGGTTGTCAGAATTTTCAACATTCATACGTTTATTGATTTGGGTAGACGTGATGCAGTTTGCGACTGTCTTCAATGAACGAATTAGGGTTTGAGGAAAGGGTTAAAGATCAAGATTAGGATTTCGAATTGGATTTACAGGCTAGAGGTAGGGGGTTAGTTTTGGATGTTAGGATCTAGGCTTAAGGTGGAGATGTTGGTTAGGGCAATGTTTAGGGTTTATAGTTATGGGTAGGGGCAAGGGTTTGTTTTTAGCATGAGAATTAGAGTTATACTTAGACCTCCAATGTCAGGTTAAGGGCTTGGTTTTAGAGTAAGTGTGAACGTTTAGGATAAGGGTTCGGGCTAGCGTTAATGTTAAGTTTAAGGTTTTGTATTTAGGGATAGGTTTGGGGTTAGGTTCAGGGTTAGGACTGGTGCTAGCTTTTGGATAAATTTTCGATGCATTTTCTTCAGGCCTATACATTTATATTGCAATGTACAGGCCTAAAGAGAAAGTCTTGTTCGATAATGTTGCCTAGCCATATGTTCTGCAAAAGAAAGGTGCATTTTCTCTGAGGGACCGAATAAGCTGGCCGGATGCGGAACGTTTAAGGCGTGTGGAAAATTCTCATATCGGATTCTGTCACGGGCTAGGTCGCCTACAGTATGTGTTGTAACCGAGGCAGTATTAGCCAACAGGCAGTCGACAGGCCGTAGAGCACGCGTTGTATGGTGATCAACGGCGTGACACAGCAAGGCCAAGGTAGTCTTTTCGAAGCTGCAAGATGCATAAAGTAGTCTCTACATTGAAGTAAGTAACTGTCGGTGTATTTGAGAATAAAATGAAATCGTCTGGAGATTTCAGGCAGGTCAAAGTGTAGTGATCTACCGAAGGCTAAGGGCAGCAGTCGACCCTCATAACATGCGTTGCCTATTAATTTTTTGTCCGATGCCAACCGGGAAGTCATTTTGCTGACACGGGTGTTATTTTTGAAGTAATTGAGTTTTATCGGTGTTTGGAAGCATGATTAGCAAGTCCTTGCCGTGCCGAGCTGTAAAGTCGAGTATAGTCAGACAAAGGCAATCCTTCGCTGAAATTGGTCGTGATTGTTTAGCCATTTGAAAAATTATATGCACTGACACGGACATGGCTATAAACGAATAGTCATTTTCAGGTTCGCACATATAAAACATAAATTTACTTGCGTTCCAACATCTGCTTATGCGCTATTTGAAAATGGAACGAGGAAAACAGAAACATTCTCGACAAACTATTAGTATTAATATGGCCACTCGCTTGTGCATTCATAATCTCAGAGTAGAGCCTCTAACTGAGCAAAGTTTGTGAAAATTGCGGTAAGGGTATGATTTGTACTCGGGATAGACCTAACAATTTAAAAG